TCGGACCAGCCCGACACGATCGACCTCCCGTCGGGCATGAACTCCAGGCAGTAGCACTCCAGGTTGGGCACCTGGATGCGCAACAGCTCCTGGCGCGTGGTGGCGTTCCACACGCGGATGTCGGCGATGGAGGAAGTGGCGAAGACCTCCGAGTAGCCAGTCGGGAAGGCGATGTGATTGATCCGCTCGTGGTGGCAGGTGTTCCTCAGTTCGGCCGTCAGCGTGTCGGAGTCCACCCAGTAAATGTTGGAGAGCTTCGTGCCGCAGAAGAAGTGCTTTCCTGGAGGGGGAACGAACGACAGATGCAGAAACTTCCCGAGGTCCGCGGGGATTTCTGGGGTCTGCGCTGGGCCCCCCATCGCTGGCGCGCGGAGCGCGCCGGGGGCGGCGCCGGAGGCGCCGCCAGTGGGCCCCAGCGCAGATTCCACAAATCCGCGCGGGCCGTCGACGGCTCTGTTCACGCAGTTCTTTCTTCTTCGATTTCCGTCTGCCGTGAGCGTGATCGACGTCACCTCGCCCAGCACCTGCGCCTGCACCTTCATCTTCAGCGAGCCCGCTGCGAGCCTGCCGAGGCAGCCGCCGCCCGTGCCGAGCAGGATGTCGCCGTCGGGCAGCATGGCGGAGCAGGTGACGCCGCGGGGGAAGCACTTCTTCGGGGCCAGCTGCTTGAAGAGCATGGTGGTGAGGTCGATCTGGAGGACGTCGCCGGACGAAGTGCCGCAGTACACGAACTTGTCCTCGGGGTCCACCACCAGGTTGGAGACCATGCGCTTCAGCTGCCCGAGGTTTGCCTGCGTCGGCCTCAGCTTCTTGTTCTCGAGGTCGAACTCCCACCTGAGCGACGTCAAGATGGCATAAGGAGGAGGAGGAGGAGGAGGAGGAGGAGGAGGAGGAGGAGGAGGAGAAGGTGGAGGAGGAGGGAGGAAGGGAGGAGGAGGAGGAGGAGGAGGAGGGAAGGAGGGGGGGGAGGAGGGAGGAGGGAGGAGGAGGAGGAGGAGGAGGAGGAGGAGGAGGAGGAGGGAGGAGGAGGGGAGGAGGAGGGAGGAGGAGTAGGAAGGAGGAGGGAGGAGGAGGAGGAGGAGAGATGGAGGAGGAGGAGGAGGAGAGGAGAAGGGGAGGAGGAGATGGCACAGCGGCCGCACGCGGCGGCCCCGCGCGGGCCGCCAGCGCGGCACGCCGCCCTGGGGACGAGGGCGGTCGCGCGGCCTGGCGCGGGCAGCCTGCGCGCCAACGTCGGCGCAGACGGCCCCGCTGGGCCCAGGATCGGTTTATTGCTCCCTCCTCCTCCATCCTCCTCCTCCTCCTCTCACTCCTCCCTCCTCTCCTCCTCCTCCTCCTCCTCCTCCCTCCTCCTCCTCCTCCTCCTCCTCCTCCTCCCTCCTCCCTCCTCCTCCTCCTCCTCCCTCCTCCCTCCTCCTCCTCCTCCTCCTCCTCCTCCTCCTCCGTCTCCTCCTCCTCTAGCGTTGTTTTTCTTTTTGGTGTCGCTCGCCTCGTGACGTGGTAGTTGCCCCCGCTGACCAGCTGGAAGTCGCTGCCGCCGCAGAACTTCACGCACTGCGCGGTGTCCGAGGCCGCCGGAGTCCCGCAGACGGCGTTCCCCTTGGCCACGTCCCAGATCACCAGGCTGTTGTCGTCCTTGCGGCAGTGCTTGTGTGCTGCCGCGTGTGTTTCCTAGACTGCATGTCCTTACCACGGCCCGTTGTTGCTGCTCCGTCATTGCTGTTCCTGTTATCACGTTGTTGTTGCATACTCTTCGCATACGATCGTCGTGCTGTTCGTATTCCCCACATCCAAAGTGGGGTTCTTGTCTTCTTCTGCACACGCCGCGCAGGATCTCACACACCCCCTTTCCTCTCTCTCTATCTCTCCCTCTCTCTCTCTCTCTCTCTCTTTCTCTTTCTCACTCACCATCATCGCCATCATCATCACCATCAACCACCATTTTCGTCATCACACGCACACACTCATCATCATTAACATCATTATCACCATCAGCCACCATCACCGTCATCACTAGTCATCATCATCATCCTCATCATCATCGTCACCATCATCACCACTCGATCACCCACTCACTCACTCAATTACTCACTCATCCTCAATAGGTTTCGGAGGCAGTGGTCCTCCGACGGTAGGACCGCCGCCACTCTCAACATCATCGTCACCATCTCCATCATAATCTCTCGGTCACCCACTCAGTGGCCATCATCATCATCATCATCATCCTCCTCCTCATCATGATCATCCTCATCCTCATCATCATCACCAACACTCATTCATCACACACTCATCATCATCATTCGCTCACTCATGATTTCGTCATCAGGCGGGAGCCTCTGAGTGAATTGCGAAAAAATCTCAGGCGGGAACTCCCTCCCTATGGGGCCCGCAGATCATGTTACTAATCCGAGCGGGTCATCGGAATCCTGTGCCTGTCGTCACTTTTGGGCCTCTGAGGCTCGAATATGCAGGAAATATCAGGCGGGAGCCTCGTCTGTGAGTGAATTGCGAGGAAGTCTCAGACGGGAGCCCCCTCCCTATGGGGCCCGCAAATCATGTTACTAATCCGAGCGGGTCATCGGAACCTTGTAACTGTCGTCACTTTTGGACTCTTGAGGCCTGAATGTGGAAGAAGTATCAGGCGGGAGCCTCGTCTGTGAGTGAATCGCGAGAAAATCTCAGGCTGGAGACCCCTCCTTACGGGGCCCGCCGATCATGTTACTAATCCGAGCGGGTCATCGGAACCCTGTAACTGTCGTCCCTTTTTGGCTATTGAGGCTTGAATATGAACGAAGTCTCGAGCGGGAACCTCGTCTGTGAGTGAATTGCGAAGAAGTCTCAGGCGGGAGCCCCCTCCCTATGGGGCCCGCAGATCATGTTATTAATCCGAGCGGGTCATCGGAACCCTGTAACTGTCGTCACTTTTGGGCCTCTGAGGCTCGAATATGCAGGAAATATCAGGCGGGAGCCTCGTCTGTGAGTGAATTGCGAGGAAGTCTCAGACGGGAGCCCCCTCCCTATGGGGCCCGCAGATCATGTTACTAATCCGAGCGGGTCATCGGAACCCTGTAACCGTCGTCACTTTTGGGCTCTTGAGGCCTGAATGTGGAAGAAGTATCAGGCGGGAGCCTCGTCTCTGAGTGAATTGCGAGGACGTCTCAAGCTCGAGCGCCCTCCTTATGGGGCCCGCCGATCATGTAACTAATCCGAGCGGGTCATCGGAACCCTGTAACTGTCGTCACTTTTGGGCTCTTGAAGCTTGAACATGAAGGAAATCTCGAGTTGCGTTCTTGGGCTGCACGCACGAGGGCAAGCGCTTCCCACCAGAGGTCTGGTCTGCCTGGGAGAAGACGTTGGCCTCGGACAACCACGGCGTCCTGGACCCACGGCACCAGCACGAGAATTTCCGGCTCGGCTACGGCATGGGCATCTAGTGGGAGACGCTGGCGAGGTGGATCAACACGCGCGCTCGTCGCGACGCGCGGCGCCTCGGCGTCCCCCTCGTTTTCCTGCAGGCCGTAGACGAGCGCGGCACGATTCAAGGCGACCCAGACGCAGGCCGGCGCCTCCTGAACGTCCCGAACATGCACAAGACGGGAGACACCCACGGCGTCTTACCGGGGCACGTCGGCATGGAGGTCCGGTTCACGGCCGTGCAGGAGGAGCTGAAAAAAAAGTTGGGGCTCGTGCAGGAGCAACGGGCCACCATCGTGTCCTTCGAGTTTCACGCAGACGACGAGCGGGACTACGAGGAGTGCGCGCCGGGCCAGCTCTTCCGCCCCCGCTTCCTACCGCAGGGAATCTGGCTGCAGGTGCACGGCTTCCAGGAGTCCCCGATCTACAAGGAGGTCGCCGAAGTGCTGCTGCAGGGCGCCGATGGCGCTGCCGACGACGGCGAGGCCGAAGCGCGGGCGAGGAGCTTGCTCATGTTCAGGCCCAGCGAGCAGGAGCTCACGTGGCAAACCTCGGGGGCGCACACTGTGCGCCGCTCGGGGTTCACCCTGACGCATGCGTCCTACCTGACCTCCACGCTGTCGCAGGGCCAGACAGTGCGCAAGGCGTCGCCATCGACTGCGCCAGGGATGAGGACGCTGGCCGCACGGGCATGTCGGACGAGATGTGGTGGCTGCACCTCTACGTCATGTTCTCCCGCGCCACGCGCATGCGAAACATGCTGATCCTGCGGCCGCCCGCGCGAGAGTTCCTGGAGCGCGGGCCGCCGGCGTCACTGCGGAAGGCGCTCCAGGAGTTCGACAAGAGAGCGGTGGATTCCAGGGCTGAGGCGGAGCAGCTCGCGGCAGAGCTAGGCTTCGTGCTGCCGCCCGCCTGAGCGCCGCGGCGCGCACCTAGAGGCCCGCGGGGTTGTCCCAACGGCTGACTCCCGCGCCCCTGCGGCCTGCGAGGTTGCCCCAACGGCCTGGCCCGAAGGGGTGTTCCGACGGCTTCGCGATCTAGCCGTCGGCAAACGCGCGCGTGCTGGCCGACGCGGCGACGGCGCCGAGGAAAATCGAGTTGCTTGCCACGACCAGGGGGAACGGGAGGTGCACACGGAAAAGAAGCAGGAGGATGAGGAGGGAAGGGGCATGGGGGAGGGCGACGATGAGGAGGAGGTGGCGCGAGAGGAGGAGGAGGAGGAGGAGGAGGAGGAGGAGGAGGAGGAGGAGGAGGAGGAGGAGCTTTTTTTACACGACGAGTGAGCCCATTGCCGCAGAGGGAAACGTGTACATCGTGTCTGGCGAGCTGTCGCAGGACCGCACACGATCCTTGTCTTTGTCCCGTCACGCAGGCTCGGGGCGAGCGCCCTCGCGCATCAACGCGGGGGCGTGCATAGGCAAGCCGCTGTCACTGTGCACTCTAATCACTCGTGTAGGTGTCGCCCCTGGAGGGCCGCATGCTGGCGCGAGAGAGCAGGGTGCGGTAGAAAAAATTCTCATTCGAAGAGGAAATTGGCTGCCTCTTCGTCGGCATCGTGCTCACTAGTGGTTTCCTGCTCTCGTGCGCTGGCTGAGGCAGGAATTGTTGCCTCGATCGTGCCGCCTCTGACGAAGCGGATCGGTTGGCTCAGCCCTGCAGCACGTCCAGCCAGCTCGCGACCTCGTCCTCGAGCCAGCCAGGGGGCATCACGCCCGTCATCCTCGCGGCCTCCCCATCGGCGAGGAAAGCCCGCGTGACCACTCCCCGCATGGGCCAGTGGGGGGCCGCGAGGAGGAGCTTCGCCTTGCTCTGGTCGTGGGGCTGCTCGATCCTCACCGCGAGGACGTCGAGCTCGATCATCTCCTTGGTGACGGCGGCCTGCGTGCCCTGCATGGGCTCCACGGCCTCCAGGTAGTCGCCCAGCTGCTTCTTGATCTGGCCGCCCACGTCGCAGCCCTGCAGCGTCTCGAGAAGGGTGATCGCCAACGAGGCGGTCGGGCTGCCAAGCGCCTTCAACTCTTCTGCGCCCTTCTCGCGTGCCTCCTGCACCATCTTGCGGTACTCCTCGAGGGTCGCCTGGAGCTGCTTGATCACGTCGTGCGTCTTCGGCATGGTGAACGTGTCCACGACGGTGGCCATCGTGAGCCTCTGGCGCTGGGTCGTCTGCAATACCAGCTTGCAGACCGAGGCCAAGCACTGCTGGATGTTCGCGTCCTTGCTCGTCCACTTCTTCTCGGTGTGTTCCCCGCGGCGGTGACGTCTCCCTCCGCGGTGGCGTGGCTTGCCGCCCCCACGGCCTCCGCCCTTGCCCGCGCCCGCGGAGGGAGCGGCTCCGCTCCCTTCGTCCATGTCCTGATCCCCGTCCTTGTCGCCCTTGCGGTGCTTCTTGCTGTCCTTCTCGATCTTCTCGTTCTTCTCGTTCTTGTCCCCCGCGCCTGCGCTGCTCGATCCTCTTCCAGATCCGCCAGACGCCTGGGAGGAGGCCACCGGTGTCCTCCACGTCGCTCTCGGCCTGCCTAGCGCCACGGGCGCTGCCGCCGCGGCTGCCGCTCCTGCTGCCCCCGCGGCTGCCGCCATCAGGTGCTGGTTCAGCTGGTTGCCGTCGAGGAAGCAATAGTGGTGTACTCGCGGCTGTCACCCGCGATGGTCTTGTTGGAAAGTCGGCAGGCCACTCAGCGGCCAGGACAGGGGGTGGTGTGCTCGCTCGTCGCCGTACAGCGTGCCCAGCTTGCACCAGTCGGCGCTCCCGTCGTCGTTCAGCAAGCCGTAGGTATCCTGCTCGTAGTTGTGCTCGAACGGTGGGCGAGTCTCGCCTCGGGGCGCACGGTGGCTGGGGTCGTGCCTCCGCTGTGCTCGCACTGGGGCGGGCACTGTGTGCTGGCTGTGTCTGGGCAAGTTTGAGCCGAAACCCTTCCGATGTCGGTGGGATGTGGGTCGCCAGGTGTGCCCTCAATTGTTCAGGGTCATCATACCGCTGCTGACACTCTGGGCGATCCGTTTCATCAGATAATGGGCATCGCGTGGCAGAAGAAGGAATCCAATCATGACGGTGACGGACGAGGTGTGGGATACAACGACCTGCTCTCCATGCGCCGCTGAGATGCCTTCTTGTGTTGTCGATGCTGCTGGACAATGTTTGGCAGTTAAGACACTTGTTGTCAATTGTGATCACGGACAGTATCGGTGGGGTGCCGTGGCCAGGGAGGCTGGTCGCGTGAATCTGATGTTTGACCAGTTCCCTGTTCGTCGCAAATCTCGCCCGACATCCTTCGATACCGCACCGAAGAGGAGCAAGTTCGGCCTCGTCGCTCTCAGTGTCCCCCACCTCCTCCTCCTCCTTCGGCATCATTTCCAGGAGAAACTCAGGTGGAGCCCATTCGCGGGCCTGAATCGTTGCTCGCAAAGCTCGAAAATCACAAGCTCTGAAAACCTCGACGACCTCGGGATTTCCGAAAAAAAACTTCCATAGTACGGGGTTGCCAGACTTCAGTGAGCTCTTCTCCGATCGGGTGAGTGAGAACAACCTGCAGGTCCTGGAAGAACTGGAGGGCCCAGGGGTGAACCTTGGCGGAAGAGTTAAGCTCCCCGTTGGGCAATATCGTGACATCTGCTACCTCATTCCCTGTTGCTCTCGCTCGCTGCTCAAAGAGATACTCTCCGAAGAAAATGCTCAAGTAGTGACTGTGGTGCGTAGGGTTCCCTGCAATAGACTGCCACCATCTTAGTCGTCGCACCATGGAGGAGGAGGAGGAGGAGGAGGAGGAGGAGGAGGAGGAGGAGAAGGAGAAGTAGGAAGAGGAATAGAATGAGGAAGAGAGGGCAGTGCAGAGGGCGAGAGGCGAGGGTGTCCGCCAGGGGGAGGAGGAAAGGGCAAAGGGTAAGCTAAACAGATTCTCATGCGGGGTCCTACCGTCGGAGTAACTCCTATGTTTGTTTTTGTTGTGTGCTGTAGCTGTTCCTGTGCTGCGTGTGCTTGCCAGGCCCGTCGGCGTCCTGACCGCCCAGCGTGGCCAGGTAGGCCTCCGTCGGCGAGAAGCACAGGGACTGCACGCAGACCTTGTGCAGCGACAGGCGGTGGACCTCCATCCGCTCCTCGGGAGCGGCCCAGAGGGGGGTGTCCAAGAGGGGGGGGGGGGAAATCATGACCGGCGGCATGTGCGCGACCCAGCGGGGGGGGGCCAGGGACGTAACGAAATGAGAAGAGGCGCAATGAAATCTGGAGAAATACCATGGCCCCCGCCACGATATCCTCCCCCCCTAGTCCTCACCGCCCCTCTTTGCCGCCCCCGAGCTCCGCGAAGCTCCAGATGATGACGTCGGCCGGGAAGCCCATGTGGGTCGTCTGCCCCGAGGCCAGCAGCGCGCCCGAGCGCGACACCGTGATGCAGTTCACCTGGTTGTCGTGCCCCTGGAGGAAGGCCTGCGTCTTCTCGATCAGGTTCCTGGGCCGGCCATCGCTCGGACGCCCCTTCCCTGTGCTCTGTTGCGGCTTCGTGCGCGGCTTTTCGCCAAAGGATCAAGGATGCTCCTCGATGGTCCTCGCCGAAGGAAAAACGCACACGTCCGAGCGATGCCACGTAGAGGAGCAAAACACTGCATGAACAGAGCTCTCGGAGGCCCGCGCGGAGGCGTCGGAGCGGCGCCGCCGCCGGGGGCCCGGCGCCCCTCCGAGAGATCCGCACGGAGCTCCGAGACGGGCTCCTGAGCACGACGGTGCACCCCAGCGGGAAGATCAGGTGCTTCTGGTCGGGGTGCAGGATGATCGGGGAGACGTAAGACTCGGGTACAGGGGGACTCGGGCTGGCCAGACGGGGCCATCATGAAAACGACGAGACCCAGTCTGAAATCTGACGCGAACTCTCGCTGCAAGCATCTAACGAAAACCGGACCGTCAAGATTCAGGACGCGCTCGTCAGAAAACGTCGGCAAACCCGAGTTCTGGCTTACTCGAGTCCTACGTTTCCCCGAGATGAGGCCGGCGCTGCAGGTGCCCTTGAAGCCGATGACGGCCTGCAGCTCGAGCTCCTGCTCCATCGCCATGGCGCTCCGCGGGCGGGGCCGGTGCTGGGCGTGCGAGGGACGGGGCGGCACAGCAGGCGCGCGCTCGGGCCAGAATGGCGGAGGAAGGAAGACCTCCTCCTCCTCCTCCGCCTCCTCCTCCTCCTCCTCCTCCTCCTCCTCCTCTTCCTCCTCCCCCTCCTCTTCTCGTCCGCCCTCCTCTCCTCCTCCTCCTCCTCCTCCTCCTCCTCCTCCTCCACCTCCACCTCCTCCTCCTCCTCCTCCTCCTCCTCCTCCTCCTCCTCCTCCTCCTCCTTTGAGGAAGGAAGACCCTGAAGTTCTGGCACTGCATATCTTTGCCCGCGGCCGGCGATTCTGCCTCGTCTCGGGCCCTTGGGGCCCTCGCGGAGGGGTGCGGCTCGAAGGATGCTGCAGGAAGGATCGGGGCCAGGGCTCCAGTTGAGTTGCTTTACGATGCAGATGTTGTCGAGGGAAGGAGAGGAGGTAGAGGGAGGAGCAGGAAGGGGAGGAGGATGGGGATGGGAGGAGGTGGGGATTGAGATGTTGACTGATAGGGATCAGGAGCGAGGAAAGAAGTACTACGAAGATGTAGCATATGTGGCGCACACTGAACCTTTACCGAGCCAGCATGGGTAGCCGGTCTACCACTTGTGCCAGTAACAATGTCTCATGGCATCGCTGTGTATATATGATATACCGTGCATACGATCAACTCTGTAGGTGTGTACATATCTACATACATGTGTATATACATATATATGGATATAGATGTGTGTATCTACCTATATACGTACGTACGTGCATATATATACATATATATACATGCATACATACATACATACATACACATATATAAACATACATACAAACATACATACATACATACATACATACATGCATGCATGCATGCATGCATGCATACATACATACATACATACATACATACACACACATACATACATACATACATACATACATGCATGCATGCATGCATGCATGCATGCATACAAACATACATGCATACATAATACATACATACATACATATACACACATACATGCATGCATGCATGCATGCATGCATGCATACATACATACATACATGAAGACACACCTACATTGATGCATACACACATACGTACAAACCTACGTACATACAGACATACAGACGTGCATGCATACATACCTACATACCCACATTCCCATCGACTTACCTGCCTACCTACCTACCTACCTACCTACCTACATACATACATACATACATACATACATATACACATACATACACACATACACACACGTTCATACATACACACAAACATACTAGAACCATCGCGCGCGCTTCGCGCGCACTCAGGTTCTAGCAGGCCCCAGGCCTTGACGAGTTCACTGCTCCACTGAAGTAGTGGACCACAGATGGTTTGAACGGGAATTGAAGAAGTACCCATAACGCTGAACGCATTATGGGCAGTGAGAAGACCACGCATGCCAATCCGCATTCTGGAATGCTTTCGGGGAAGATGGTTGCGTAGGGGGGCGGATGCCTGATGAATCTGATTCCGAGAAGGCCTTCTGGGAGCATGGGTTTGGGGGCGTCTTGGGGAGCCTGTTGGGGCGTGTGCCGTCATCCTCGTCGTAATGTCGTCGTCGCCTCTTGGGGCGTGCCGTCGTCGTCGTCGTCGTCGTCGTCGTCGTCGTCGTCGTCGTCGTCGTCGTCGTCGTGGACGTCTTCGTCGTTTCGTCGTCTTCGTCGTCGTCGTCGATTCAAGAAGGCACTTGGCGCAACTTTGCGCGAAACGATCCGCGGAGGGCCGCGAGAAGGCGATCAGTCATGCTCCCAGTCAACTTCCCAGACAGCTCTCCGGTAGCGCGATGGTCCTTCGGAGCCTCCGGAGACTCTCGGGCCCATGATGAACCATGTCCCCAGAAGGCTTTCTGGGCACATGATTTGTTGGGGTGTGTTGGGGGGCCTCTTGGGCGTTCCCTGGGGGCCCCTTGGGGGCCTCCTGGAGGCCTCTTGGAGGCCTCACGGGGCTTCGTGGGAGCCTCTTGGTGGCCTCCAGGGGCCTACTGGGGGCGTCTAGGGCCAGAGACCTCGAAATACCGGTTCGCGGTATCCCTCTGGGCCCCCTCTTGGAGCGCTTTTGGGGCACACTTGGGTCGTCTGGGGAGCCTCCTGGGCCGTCTTGGGGCCATCTTCGGGGCCTCGTGGCTCGTCTGGGAGCGATCCGAACGGCCTCCGAGGCCGTGAGGGGGCGCTGGGAAGCGGGAAAAGCGAGAACGCCAAATTCCTGCAAAAACCATCGGGTAATTAATGGATTTTGCCTCCCAGGGCCCTCTTGAAGAGCCTCTCGAGTCCATCCTGGAGCGCGTTGGAGTCCTCGTCGGCCGTCTTGAGGGCAGCTTGGGCGTCTTCGGGGCCTCTTGGGACCGTCTTGGACCATCTTCGGACCCCCTTAGCCTGTCGTAACCTGTTTCGGGGCGGGCCCAGGCCGTCTCGGGAGCTCTGGGACCCCCAGAACCCCTCGGGGGCGCCCACGGGGGGTACAGGCAGCGGCCTGGCCCCCCCCGCCCGCCTACTCCGATTTCCATATATCTCTCTATGTGTATGTGTATATATATATATATATATGTATATATGCATATGTGCATGTATGTTTTATATGTATATATTGTATATATATATATCTATATATATCTATATATATATATATATATATATATATACTACATACTAGACCCATCGCGCGCGCTTCGCGCGCGATGGTTCTAGCAGGCCCCAGGCCTTGACGAATTCACTGCTCCGCTGAAGTAGTGGACCGCAGTACACGCATGCCAATCTGCATTCCGAAAGGCCTTCGAGGAAAATGGTTGTGTAGGGGGGCGGAGGCCGTATGAATGGGTTCCCAGAAGGCCTTCTGGGAGCATGGGTTTGGGGGCGTCTTGGGGAGCCTCGTCGTCGCCGCCGTCGTCGTCGTCGTCGTCGTCGTCGTCGTCGTCGTCGTCGTCGTCGTCGTCGTCGTCGTCGTCGTCGTCGTCGTCGTAATGTCGTCGTCGCCTATTGGGGCGCGCCGTCGTCGTCGTCGTCGTCGTCGTCGTCGTCGTCGTCGTCGTCGTCGTCGTCGTCGTCGTCGTCGTCGTCGTCGTCGTCTTCGTCGTTTCGTCGTCGTCGTCGGTTCGAGAGGGCACTTGGGGCAACTTTGTGCGAAACGATCTGCGGAGGGCCGCGAGAAGGCGATCAGTCATATTCCCATTCAACTTCTCAGACAGCTCTCCTGTAGCATGATGGTACTTCGAAGCCTCCGGAGACCTCGCGGGCCCATAATGAACCATGTCCCCAGAAGGTTTTCTGGGGACATGGTTTGTTGAGGTGTGATGGGGGTTCTCTTGGGCGTTCCCTGGGGGACCCCTTGGGGGCCTCCGGGAACTCTCGGGCCCATGATGAACCATGTCCCCGGAAGGTTTTCTGGGGACATGATTTCTTGGGGTGTGTTGGGGGGCCTCTTGGGCGTTCCCTGGGAGCCCCTTGGGGGTCTCTTGGGGCTTCCTGGGGGCCTCTTGGGCGCCTCACGGGGCTTCGTGGGAGCCTCTTGGTGGCCTCCGGGGGCCTACAGGCGGCCTCTAGGGCCAGAGACCTCGAAATATCGGTTGGCGGTCCCCCTCTGGGCCCTCTCTTGGGGAGCTCTTGGGGCACAGTTGGGTTGTCTGGGGAGCCTCCTGGGCCGTCTTGGGGCCCTCTTCGGGGCCTCGTGGCCCGTCTTGGAGCGATCTGAAGGGCCTCCGAGCGAGGCCGTGAGGGAGCGCTGGGAAGCGGGAAAAGCGAGAACGCCTAAATCCTTCAAAAACCATCGGAAAATTAGTGATTCTTGCCTCCCAGGGCCCTCGTGGGGAGCCTCTTGAGTCCGTCCTGGAGCGTGTTGGAGTCCTCGTCGGCCGTCTTGAGGGCAGCTTGGGCGTCTTCGGAGCCTCTTGGGACCGTCTTGGGCCCTCTCGGGACCTCCATTGGCCTGTCGTGGCCTGCTTCGGGGCGGGCCTGGGCCGCCTCGGGACCCCTCTGGGCCTTCTCTC